TTATCCACATTGATTGTCATGCTATTGTCTCCATGAGGCCTCAAAAATGGAGGCCAGTGGGCATGAGACAAACCCCACCAACTTCTGAAATACTCTTGGGTGTAACCCATCAGGGCCTGGCACCTTTATAACGTCCAATGCCCTGAGGAGCTCCTTGACTTCTAGGGAGGTGACTCTAATCTGTGCCCCTAAGTCCCCAGCCTCATCTGATCCTCCATGCGGATCTCCCCTGTCCTGCTTTGGGGAGAACACAGAGGCAAAATAGTCATTTAGCATCTGTACCTGTTCCCTCACATTCCCTCACATTCACAGTCACTGAATCCCCTTCCTCTTTATTAAATGGTCCCACTGCCTGTCTACCCTTCCTCTTGCTATTTACATGCTGAAAGAAGCCCTTTTTGTTGCTCTTGATATTCTTTGCAAGTCTCAGCTCATAATCAGCCTTAGGCTTGCGAAGAATCCTTCTGCAATCGGCCTCCTCCTCCTGGTATCCCCTTTTTGTCTATATGCCCCAGTGCCCATTTCCTACAGAGGTTCCTCTTGCATCTAATCCCTCCTTTTGCATCCATGTTGGCACTCTCCTTTGCCTTCCTGCCTTACTAACTAGAGGTATTGTCAAGGCTTGTGCCTCTAAGACATACCCTTTGAATGTCATCCACCCCTCCTCAACTCCCTTGCCTTCCAGTATCCCAGGAGACTTTCCCCAGTCTGGCCTTCAATTGGCCCAAGTTGGCCCTCTTGGAGTCCCAGCTTCTAGTACTTGACCTGCTGCTCATCCCCATTTCCCTGATCTGAAAGCAAATGATAGAGTGATCAGTTGCATTCAGAGCTTCTCCCTGTTGGTCAAGACCAAGTCAAGGATATTTCCCCCCCTTGTCACCTCCTGGACCCTCTGCATGAAAAACACTCCCTCTATAGTGTCTAGGAAGCAACATGACCTGGCTGTCACCGCTGAGTGAGTCTCTGAACTAATATCTGAGAGACTGAAATCTCCCATAATTACTGTATCTCTCCCCTGAGATATCCTTAGAATCTGATCTGTCAGGACATCATCCAGGGTCTCAAGTTGACCTGGAGGGCGATACCATACTCCCACTGCCAGGTCCCTCCCTCTGTCAAAACCCCTTAGTTTCACTCAGACTGCCACTTCCAGATCCCCATCTGCAACATATTCTATCTCATGCATGCAAGATGTCTTATTGAAGTTGCAGTCATTTCGCCATTCTGTTGATTGTTCATGACACTAAACGTGAAACCATCTGAGTTTCCTAAGCCTTGCTTGGGTGAAACTTTTGGGTGGGATGGACAGCAGAGATCTTCAGTTCCTGTTCTTCTGTCTGGGGTGATTTTCACTAGTTTGGCTTTTTAGTCTCTCTAGTAAGGGCAATTCAGAGGTAAGGAGGTTAAAGGATATTTCAGATAAATCATATTCTGTCCTTTCTGATCTACTCGTCTTCCTGCCCACCTTCCTTCTCTTCCAAGGCTGTATTTCCTACAATAGAGGGGGAGCTGGCATGAGTTTCTCTGTGTTGGATTTGGGCAGCAGGCTATCTGACTTCCTCTTCTGAGCTTGCAGCTCTGTCTTTGAGAATCTGAGACACTACTGTGAGCACCACGATAAAATAAGTGTATTGGTGGTGCAAAGTGTATCAGTTGGCATCTACCTATTGTATCTATGGATTTTTGACTGAATCTTATTAAGCAAAAACTTTTGTTTCATGTGTGTTCATGTGTCTTTTTAATGAGGGACCGTCAAATTTTGATAATTGTTGGTAGTACAATACAACTAATGCTTCTTTTAAACATATGTTTTGGCAGTAGTTGATTTTTTTTTGGCGGGGGGGGGGAGGAGGTTAGTAAGTGGATGCTTTTTGTGCTGGAAGTTTTTAATATTCACTGATGCACAGTGAAATATTATATTAAATTATTTGCCTGCTTTATGAAAATTAAATGGTCAGTATAAATTGATTCTTCATGGTCTTTAAAAGCTAAAATACTAATAATAAAACAATGGAAGAATAAACACTCACTTCCCCTAATGCATTAGATCAAGGACTTTAGAACACTTTCAACATTTGAATAGGTGGCATAGAGATGCTACTTTCAAATAGACATTATTGGATATGTTATCCGTATTTGTTGAAGCCTGTGTATCATTGCTAGAAAGTTTATGCATTTCCAATATCTTCATTGCTATGGATATATAAAATCTATGTGTGGACAATAAAAAGTATGATGATGATGACTGGGGGAGCTCTTCATGGAAATTATTGAAGGTGCTTCACTGGGGAAACTTGAACAGATACTAGTTGAGATAGCACATTCTGGTTGCATATTTGCAATATCAGTATGTAGCAATATAATGGCATTATAACTAGGGTGCAGCATGTTATCACAGGCAGTTCCTTTGCATAGGAGACTGCTTCTGAAACATTCTCATCAGAAGGATTGCCAGATGAGTTCGAGGACTGCAACCAGGCTGACTGAACTCCCTGTCTATGTCATAGTCAAATTAAATTGAATAAAAAACCTTTCTCCTTTGATTAGCATAAAATAAATGTCCCACACACTGAGAGCCTTAACTATAATGCATTTTGATTCAAAATAAGTGAGGATTCAGCTTCCTGCTTTCGTGGCATAACTGACTGCCAGTTGATTTAGTGCGACTTGACTCCTTTTTTTTTTTTTTTTTGAAGACTGAATAGAAGCAGAAAACAGATGCCAAGAATGAATTTATTATTGCCTTGCTTAGATAAAAAATTATCTTAGAGACTATTTTCACCCTTCTTAAAGATTTAGTTCAGATACTGGTTGGGTCTTACTAGCTATAATATGCTGTTACTCATCTTCAGATTAATCATGTTTTATTGTTTCTAATGTTTTTTTCTCCCGAAAAGCCATATTCTGTTTTGCTCCTGGGCATTATACATCCAGCAAATGGTTGGCCTGTGGCCGAGCAGGCCAACCAGAAAGGTACTTTTTCACAGAGTCTTTTATTGACTATAATGACTACTCCATTTCTTCTGAGGGATTCTTGCCCACAGTAGTATACCTGATAGTCATCTGAATTAAATTCTCTCATTCCTGTCCATTTTAGTTTGTTGATTCCTAAGATGTCAATGTTCAGTCTTGTCATCTCATGTTTACCATGTCCAGCTTACCTTGATTCATAGATCGTACATTCCAGGTTCCTATGGAGTATAGATCTTCACAGCATCGGGCTTTCTTTTCACCACCAGATACATCCACAACTGAGTGTCCTTCCGGCTTTGACCTAGTTGCTTCATTCTTTCTGGTGCTACTAGTACTAGCCCTCTGCTCTTCCCCACCAGCACGTTGGACACCTTCCAACCTGAGGAGCTCATCTTCCAGCATCATATCTCTTTGCCTTTTGGTCCTGTCCATGGGGTTTTCATGGCAAGGATACTGGAGTGGGTGGCCATTTCCTTCTCCAGTGGATCACCTTTTGTCAGAGCTCTCTGCTACGACCTGTCAGTCTTGGGTGCCTCCGCATGGCATAGCTCATAGATTCATTGCACTACACAAGCCCCTTCACCACAGCAAGGCAGTGATCCATGAAGGGGATATGGAGTGTGCTGTATAATAAAATGAAAATTGCATTTACTGTCCAAATTTTTTAGTGAGGAATGGTGAAGCAGAAGCGGAAAAGGATTGAGGAGGCAGTGAGAAGAATCGGGACAGCAGGCAGTTAAAAGGGCCTGAAAGGATCAAGGAGGCAGTGAGAAGGATTGAGGAGGTAGGCAGTTAAAAGGTACTTGGAATGATCAAAAAGGCAAGGCAAATGCAACAAGAGACGAGAGACATTTATGCAGTGACTGCAGTTTTTTCTCTGTTCCTGTGGTTCTAATTTAGAAGTGTCATTCAAGCGTTGATGAGATTTTAAATTTACTCTAACATTTGAACTCTGGATCTCAACCACTGCTCATCTCCTGCTGCCCGGCCTGGTTCCTAACAGGCCACAGACTGATACTGGTCTGGGTCCCAGGGATTGGGGACCCCCTTGCCTATTAGACAGAGTGAGGAACCAAGCCAGTCAGAAGCTCCTTTTTTGCTTTTCCTTGAGTAGTATTTTTTCTGGGAGCTTCGGAGCATGTTCTGCTTCACACACATGTACTTACCAAATGGTTTGGCCCCTAAGCTGCAGAGGTATTCCAGGTTCTTTCTTCTCTAAGTTGGCCATCCCTGTTATTTTCCCAACTATTGTGAAAACAACTGAACTGTTCATATCAATTGTGGGTATTGACAGACTTTCAACAACAGCCTTGGATAGCCCTATGATTGCAATTGTTAATCTCTAATAGTAGCACCTTTGTATTCATGGCAAATACATGTGTCCATTATGATTCACTTTTTCATGCAATTGGTTTGGGTTAATGGTGGCTTCTTGATGGCTGCTCCCAGGCTGTACCAAGAATGGCTAGGTTGGCTTTCTCTCTTTCACTGGCAGGTAAAGTTGATTTAGGCAGGCACTTGATCTGTCTGTTATTGCTGAGTTTTAATTGTGTTTTAATATATTTACTTCATTATTGTTCCAGTCAAGTTTTTTATTGATTATCGTAAGCTACCTTTAGTGGCATTTCCTTGATAGAAAAATGGGATAAAATCAAATAAATGCATAATTTCAAGTTTGCTTGTAGCATTAATGACTTCCATAGACTGAGGAAGAAGCCAGGTACCGTGAGCTATATGAACCTGCAGTTCTGCCCAAATAGTCAATGGATTTTTGATATAATCTACTCATTTTTGAGCATTTGGCTGCTATATATTTTATTGGCACTTGGAGTGGTCATTTCTTTAAATTAAACTGCTGACTTTAAAAAATATGACTTTGAAAAGGAGATTTAATGAATAGAAAGCAAGTGGATGGGTGCTGATAAGATGCTGTTTGTACCTACAATGTACCAAGAAGTGATTTTTATTTTGAGTCACAGTTGTATTATTGGACTTACTTGTAATTGTTTAATTTGTTCCATCTTCAGGCATTGTACAGATGTTCTGTGTTGTGTTATCTTCGTTGTGGTCATCCTCAGTTACATTGCTTTAGGAATTGTGGGTAAGTAAACAAGTGGTTATCTTATTCATTGTAGGCTTACCTTATTCATTGGAGAGTAGTTCGTCATATAAAAAACAAGAAAAATGTTGCTTTAAATTAAATTGATGTTCCAATTAAAGGGAATTGTGTTCATTTAACATAGCACTTTGGAAACAAAGCATGAACTATTAGTTGGCTGTTGTAATTAAAGGAGGGAAATCAGAATGATGGGTATATTTAATTTTTAAAAAAATACAAGGTGAAACAATGCTGGATTTATTTATTTATTTATTTATTTATTTGGGCTATTTCTAACCTATCCATCACTATGCTTACAAAAAAATTCAATAAGTACAACAATATAAAAGATCATAAATACCCCAAAGAATAATAAAAGTAATAACCCATGACTGAAGTAAAATATACCATATTTTTTGCTCTATAAGACGCACTTTTCCCCCCTCAAAAGTAAGGGGAAATGTCTGTGCGTCTTATAGAGCGAATATGTGTGTGCAGTAAGTCTGTCAGATGTGCAGCCCATGGGGAAGTGATGGGGAATGTCCCTGTGATTATGTGCCCATTTGATTCAGAATATTTTTTTCTTGTTTTCCTCCTCTAAAAACTAGGTGCGTCTTATGGTCAGGCGCATCTTATAGAGCGAAAAATACGGTAATTAATATCTTTTAAACATTAAAATATTGGGTGAATAAAAAGGTCTTGACCTGGTGCCAAAAAGCATATAATGACCGCGCCAGGTGGACCTCTCTAGGGAGCGCATTCCATAGCCGGGACGCCACCGCAGAGGTTCTGTCTCTCAGTCTCCTTCAAGGAGGCTTACCAGAGCAGGGCCTCTGCTGCAGATCTCAAGGGGCGGGAGGGCATGTAGGGAAAAAGACGTTCCTTTAGGTATCCTGGTCACAAGCCATATAGGGCTTTATAGGTCATAACCAGCACCTTAAATTGGGCCCAGACTTCAATGGGAAGCCAGTGAAGCTGAAGGAGGTCTGGAGTTATATGAGAGTAACAGCCGGTCCCCAACAGCAACCTAGCAGCTGTATTTTACACCATTTGAAGTATCCAGACCATCTTCAAGGGCAGCCCCAGGTAGAGCACATTACAATAGTCTAACCAGGAGGTTACCAGAGCATAATGCTCCATTTACTTACAACTAAAGCTCCTTTAAGTGAGGGGAATAATATCAGGAACTAATTTTGTTCATCGTACTCTTCAAAATAAATATTAAAAGTGAGTTCTGAAAAGATCAGGTTAAATATTTAAGCCCTCATTCAGAACATTATACTCCCCTTTGTTTGCATTCTGCCATGCATCTACCTATTCATCACAATCTCCTCAAATTTCATAAGGTCTCTATGCTTACTATTTTTCTGCAACCATTCTTTAGTCCATTGTTCCAATTGCATAACATTCAACCAAGATAATTCTCCTTTTCCAAATAATTCCATTATCCTTTTCTTAAAATCCATTTTCTCCATCCAATTTTTTATCCTGGATATTTGTTTTTCTTTTAATATCTATCCTAAACTATCCCTCAAATTTTCTGGAAATCCTCCCATCTCTGTACCTGGAATTATTGGTGAGGTGATTGCCATAAATTCTTCCCTATACATCCCCCAAATTTGTAGCAATTTTTTTTTTAAAAAAAAAGAGATTTCCTATCCTTTTTTACACCCTTCTTATCATCTTGTTTAAAAAGGATGTTTAGAAAAGGTACCCCAATCTCCTGTTGTTCCATTTCTGCCCATATTATCTCATCTGACTGCAAAATAATATTCAGAATACCTGGTCATTCCTCTTTTTGTGATTTATACCATCTTTTCTTACTTATCCCCATTAGCACAGAAACAGAGCGAGTCAGAAGGGGTCTCCCGGGCCATCTAGTCTGACCTCTGGCACCAGCCGGCTCCGCTCACAACATGCCCACCATGTGGACGTCCAGCCTATCCTTGAACACCCAGACCGACAAAACTTATTAATCATATTTTGCCAGTCTTCCAACTTTCTCCCTAATAGCCTAATTGGCAAACATCCCAAATAAAAAATTAATCTTAGGTAAAATTTTCATTTTACAAACAGCTGTTCTCCCAAACCATGGTAATCCTATTTTCCTAAATTGCTGCAAGTTTCTTATGTCAGATTTTAATATCTCAAAATTATTATTTTTTCAAACACTGAGCACTTTTTGAAATACTAACACCTAAGAATTTAATAATATCACGTATTCTAATCTGACATTTACTCTTAATTTTCTCCCTTTTTTCTCGATAGCAATTAAACAGCATTATCTCTGATGGGTCTTCTTTTGTTTACAAGGTATCTTCAAATAGGTTAATCCTGACTTTATTTTTAATTCCACTACTTTTTATAGTATCATCATTTCTTATACTATTTGCCAATAATTCTATAGCTAAACAGACAATATCAGCGAAAGAGGGCAACCCTGTCTAATGCTTCACCCTAAAGATATTCTCTCTGGTCCTCTTGCAGGGCTGGGTGTCATGCCTCCTGAAAGATGCTGTCCCTTCGAGGAGGGGATGGCAACTGGTTCCTGGCAGGGCCCCTGGCCACTTGTGTTGTTTGGTCAGTGGTCAAATCCCGTGCATCTAGCCATCATTCAGGCTTTGTGCAGAGAGTCCACGCTCTTGTCCATGTGGGTGTTGAATAGTCCTTGAAATACTAATCTATAAAAAATCACACTAAGATGTCAGTCAATAAAACTCTATCCCCCCTCCCACCCTTATCTAACCTATTGCCCTTCTTCTTCCAGGGGTGACCCCTACACTCCACCCTTATCCAAAGCTGAAGGGGGTTAGCAGGAAACTCCCCATCATCCCAAACACAAACACCTACTCTCTCCTAGCCTTTATCTCTCTTTATCTCTTATAAGAGCCTTTATCTCTTATAATTTATTTTAAATACTACTTGGAACTAATTAATATTCCATTGTTTCTACTTCTATTCCCTTTATAATAATTGTATTGTGTACTTGTCTTTATCTTTATATGCTTAATTTATATCTACCCTGTCTAACTTCTTCTGCCTCTTATATTTCAATTACTTAGAATTATATTGAGATAAACTTCTTAGAACAACTAACTTTTTTCTTCAATATTAAATTAATTCAATACCTGATATTTTATCATTAGACTCCTCTAAGTACAATGTCATAAACTTATAGTTTAATATTACCCTACTATTTGTAACTTTTTATCTCTTAACTTTTTAAACAATTCTAAATCACCTATACCATTTTTACTCTTTTCCAAAAGTTCTTCACCCATCCTATCTTCTATTACTTCTCATATTACCATGTATCTATTAAGTGTATTTAAATAAAGTTCATCATACTACATAGTAGCTATCTGACCTTAGTTTTCATTATTAAATTCATTCAGTGTCCCTTACTTTAATCCATAAACTCCGTCATATCATTCTATCATTCTGTCACCTTATATTATTTAATAAACCTTGCTCTCCTATTCTTATTTCTATACCTCTTAGATCTTATAACAATCACAACTCTCTACTAGAATTTTCCTACACCCAAACTTGAAATTACCCTCTCCCTATCAATCCAATCTTCTATCTTCCTTCTTCTCATTTCTTCTTCTTCCCCAGTTGTTCCTTGTCAACCAGAATGGGAGCTGGTGTAGGTGTGATTTTGCCAGCTGTTCCTTGTTCCTCTTCTTGTTGATAGCCATCTTTTTTTATCTGCTCTCACAACTGCTGGCTCTTGAAACTGGACCACAGCCAGGATCTTTCGAAAGGTTTCTTGACTTCCCTGCTCTTCTTCATCCATCAGTCCCCAACCAATCAGTAAGCTTTTGCCTTGCTCTGGCAAATGTATTATATAATTCTTCCCCTTGTAGAAAACTTTAATGAACACTGGGTATCCCCAGCTATGTTTGATGTTGTCCTTCCAATAGCACAGTCTTAATTAATCTCAATGACTATCTAAACAATAATGTCTGGAAGCAGATATCTTGGTAGACCTGAGTAGGAGCTCCTTTGAATTTCAATTGGCCAGAATTTTCTCTCATTACTTTCATAAATCTTTCTTATAATAATTTGAGAAACTGATCAGAACATCTCTTGGAAACATTCTGACTCCTCACTTATAACCAACTTGATGTATCTTTTCAAAGTTTTCTTGATTCCATTTTATATCAAGAATCATTTCTTTAATCCAATCAAAAACATAATTCTTCAGTTTCTTCTGATACAACTTATTTGGGAAGATATTTAATTCTGACACTCAATCTACGATATGAGTCCTGCAAGGATATAACTTCTTTTTCTAGCTCAGATATTTTGACTGCTTGATGGTCCAGTTGTGATGCGTTTGCGAACACTGCTTTCTCTGTTTCCTGTAGTCACAGAAACATAGAAACAAAGTGAGTCAGAAGAGGCCTCCCGGACCATTTAGTCTGACCCCTGGCTTCAGCCAGCTCTGCTCATGTAATCCCCAACATGTGGTAGTCTGTTGAGCACACTCAATATTTTTTCCTCCAATTTCAAGTAAAGCTTATTATCCTCTTTCATTTGAGCAAAAACATTTTGAATTCCACATTTTCCCTCATCATTCAAAGCTTTAATTAAGTTCTCCATTCAATGATTATTCTCTTCCAATATTTTCTTAAGAGATTCCATCATCTTTTCCTTCTTGCCTTCCGCTATAACTTCACCTCCTCTTCGAACTCCCTCTTTCCTGTCATTCCCAACTGCATCTGTGTCTAAATTACCAGTTTGAGAGCTCTTAGGGAGATTAAAGATCAAATGGTCTAATAGATTTGAGTGCTGGTTGAAGCTTGGCTGGTTTAGGCTGTCAGTGAGGCATTCAACCACTAGATGGCAAACATTTAAAAGAAATGTATGTCTCATAAATCTCCATGTCACCAGGAATCAGCAAGTCTGGCCTTTTTGCTCCTTGTATCAGTGACTGTCTCCATGCTCCCAACACCTTCAGGTATTTGAGCAATACTGTTTTATTTGATAATAATAAA